ATGGAGAATAAAATGTCAAGAAAAATAATAACAAGAAAGCCAAGACTGAAGAAAAAGTCCAAATGACAGAGCTTAAAATGTACAAGTGCCAAACACAGACTACTGCAGAACAAGTGAGAGGCCAGGGGAGGAGGATAAGGTTAGAGGGAGACAGAGATGTTTTCAGTGGAGAGCCACATGTCACTGGGCTAAGGATTGTCCTGAAAAGTAGGAAACTGAGGCTGCTTACTCGTGTGAGAAGGGGAGGGGTGACTGCAACAAAAGGTAAAAAAGTAAAACAAGAGACACAGATGCAATAAAAACAAGACAGCTATTTGCGCAATGAAACCCAGATTAATGACACACACAATTATTGTGTGCAATGAAGATGAAATGAAGACCAGCTTACACTTATAAACATGGCAATATCTCAGATTGCGGCTAAAGAAGCCTGACAGACACACCTGTTATCAAATGCTAAGCGCACTACTTATAAACACTTGCTACAATTTCTGCTCTGGGGTGCAGGAGAACAGGTTGACTTTTGGAAATATGTGATGCTACAGAATCAAAAACCAAAACTTTTTATTAAAACTGTAGGAACAGAAGATATTCCAGTGACTAAACAATATACAAAAGATTTACAATGCAAAGAAATTGAATGTGGATCTTTTAAACAAACATTCCTGTTGTGGCCATATTGTCGAGTCAACTTGTTGGGTTGAGAGTTTATGTGTTAACTTCAATTTACAACACAATTGTCATTGTGTCAGGGAAAGATGACTTGATAATAACACGGTGAGCAAAATGTTGCAGATGGTTAAATATCATGCTGATCTGCTGCTGCAAGCGTATGAGTAGAGACTCCAACAGATTGCTGCGTTTCCTGTTTGTGATGAACTGGTGAGGCTTATACAACAACACACACACATTCATCAGACTACACAGTACCAAGCTGACCTCATGTAACACTACGTGTGTTTAAGGGGGGTTGATGAACAGTTTTTTTAAATATATTTTTTTAATATTTTACTTTTGGCTTTTTTTGCACAGAGCAGTGAACAGACAACCAGAGGGAGAGAGAGAAAGGGGAAGACATGCAGCATATCGTTCATCCCAGTGAGCTAAACCGGTACCCGGGTTAATGAACAGTTTGAGAAAGTACAGAGAGAAACAGGAAACTGAGAGAGTACAAACAGGCAGTGTATACTGGAAAATACATAAGTGTAATTCTCACTGATGAACAAAACAATTTTTACAGAACAAAAACTGAACAAGATGATTGTCAAGATATGTTGCCACGGTTAAAACCAGTACTACAGTACAAACAATGGGAAGAAACTGACATTCCAGGAGTAAAGCACTGTAATGGGGTGTTTGGGAAGCATCTAACAGCATATGATTGTGTTGTAAGAACTGTTCACCTTCTGAAAAAAAGTTCTCTGTATACCCAGTTGGAGCTATGCCAGTTGGCCCGTGACTCTCCAGAATTGTGTGATATTGCGTAGCACTTATGGGCAAATAGTAAATATGATATGGGGGAAATGAAAGGCGCTCTTTCATTGGTGGTGACTGGTAAGTCTGAGTTAAGCCCATGTAAGCATCACTAGAAGCTGTTAATGTCATGAACTGTGTGTGAGGCAGGCAGGATTGGACCCAAAAAGCAGACTTGGCAGGCAGGACTTAACACAAAAACAGAGCTTTATTGCTGGAATGTTGAAGCAACAAAACT